TTTTGCACTCGTGGTACAAACACCTACCATCTGCCTCAGGGTGGGGAGAACATCCCCTGTAACAAGGGTGATGTGCTTATTCATTTTTAAGGTTATGCCCCCTTTCTTAAAGCTCTGTTTGGGAAAAAGATGCTGGAGGAGATGGAAGAATTTGTGTATCCCTTTTCCAGTTGGGAATTACTACATTCCTGGCTGTATGCACTGCTTTCTGTGCTGCCACATCTGAGTTTAACCCAAAGCTCCCTGTACCAATATTTTTGTCCTTACAGAGGTCATAAGGCAAAGGAAGTTCTGTTGGAAAACTGTTGGCTTATAATGATAAATTTAACACGGTGTTTTCCACATGAAATGTTAATACATGATGTTTTAAATCTTATTTCAGTTCTCATGTAACATTTGAAAATTAAACCATTCCTAATCTAATCACCACTTCAGCTGTAATACTTTTTTATTATTTTTTGCATAAAGCTCATTTTAATTGGAGTAACACGTATTGCATGTTTTATGAAACACCTTCATTTGAAAGTCTTGGATACTTTCCATTCAAGTCCCTACAGACCCATCCAGTTTGAAAATACACTGTTTTATCCTCTCCTTAATTACAGTACTTGGAGCAACTCTCTGTTAACTGTTTTTAAGTTCCACAGGATAATGAGTATCTACCAGAACTAGAGAGCACAACAGAAAACTGTTCACAGGAGGAAGCTTGCTGTTGCTTAGCTACCTGTCTTTTTAATTTGGAATCTCCAGCAATTCAAGAAGGACTAGTCCTTAAGCTGCTGAATGTATTTGTTCCTGACAGACTGTCCCATTTTGTGTGTGCATTTTTACCCGTGTGCTGCTGTTGTTATTGTAGGGCTGAGAGGGCGTTTTGTAACGGGGCTGTGTTGTGATGGAAATCACAAAACCTAAATGTGTCGGTTACAAAGGCAGTTCTTAGGTGGGTGCTACAACAGTGAAATTCAGAATAACTTGAGCTAAAGGAGTCTTGTCTCCACTCCCCCAGATCAGTCCCAGATAAGAACCAGTTCTGTGTAATTTGTAGGTAGTGCAACCAACCTGTAGGCTTTTAATGGTACACATTCTGACATCAATTTGGACGTCATAAAGATATGTAATTAATTTAAAATCAAAATACTTTGACACTCAACGTTTTTTTGGTCCATTTAGCAATTTCTTACAAGCAAGAAAATGCCTGACTTTCAAGAATTGCCTGACTCTCACAGAAATTTGCTGGAATAAGTCTCTGAACTAGGCAATGTTCATAGGAGAACTCCTGAATTTTTTTTTAAGGAATCTGTGAGAAATTTTATTTTCACTAATGCTTTCTGATCAATCCTAAAATTGATATAAAGGGACAGTTTATCCAGACATTGCTTGTGGCCACAGGACTAACATAAGCATAGAAAGAATTTCTGTCTTTTCTAAACTTTTTTTCCAGTATGTGGCTGTAAAAAGAAAACCTTTTATTTGCTAAGTACAGCTTGCTGACATAATTTATGCAAGCAGCAACTCCATCTCCCGTGCAGATGGGTGTGATTCACAGGTGCCAAATGCAGCTTTTTGAACAGGAACTTCAGCACTGTTTGCTGCTGAGCTGATGTGCCCACCTGGACAGAGATTGGTTATTGACATTTTCTGTGGTATATTTGTTAGGATTTTAGAAGGATGAACTTGTTAGTTTGGCAGTTAAGTACATTTTTAATTCAGTGAGGAACTTTCTTGGGAATCTGTGAGCAAGTTAATTTAAAGAAAATCAGCTATTTCAGCTCTTACAGGTATACTTGGTAGGTTTGGATGTGAATCTGTGTAATCCCCTTTTAGGTATGCATAAGGTTTTGATGTGTATGTGTCCCTAGTGGAAAATACAGGCATATTTCAATATAATTTTGTACTCAATTAACCTCACTATTGACTTACAGGTGTTCAACAGAGTTGCATCTTTTTGCCCGTTTATTGTGGTTAATATTTATGCATAAATTCCAGTTTCTGGGTCTGTAAATCTTTCTTATTAAGATAATTTATTTTTAAGATTCCTGAGGATGTAGCTCTTGTATAGCCTGATATGATTTTTGTCATGCCTTCTTGGTTTTCATTTTAACATTGCATCCCATGACTTTAAACCAACTGTATGTGTGTCCTTGATTTCCCAGTGCAAAGCCACTGCTGCACTGGCCTCTGTTTCCTTGCAGAATTCCGTGGATACTTCAATACATCTTCAATACATGACATGACAAAATGTAAAACCATACTCATAGATCACCTTATAAATATTTATTCATATAAATTCTTTAAAGAAATTAAATTACTTGTTCTATACAAAGTAGGAGAGAGAGGCTTTTAGTGTCACCGGCTGCAAATTGAAGTCATTTGTCTAGAAGGGTCAGGTGCCACTTTGTGGTGAGACACTTGTCTGAGATCCAAGAAGGGAAAGATTGATAGTACAAAGAGATTGATGGAGCAGGCACTGCAATATGCATACGAAGGGACGGGTTAATTAGGAGGATTTAAACAAGAAAGTCCCTTTGTGCGGGGAAGTGTCGTGTGCTGTTACTCTCAGAAGGGAGATGTGCTGGCAGCCTTTGGAACAGGCGGGGTCGGTTTTCAGAGCTGTTTACGGGGAGATGTGCGGTGGGGAATGTCAGCGAGGTGGCACATCACTGTCAGTGAGGTGGCACATAACTCTCTGTTACGACCCACCCCAGAAAAAAAGGGGGGGGGTAACCCAGGTTCTTATCAATAATTCCCTTGGGGTGGATTAGAGTGAAACGACACTGAATAATCGGTGTTTGAAAACATATATAGGTAGGGTTTATTTTAAATGCATATAGGCAGGGTTCATTTTAACAATTTTGTTTGAACAGGTATGTTAGCATTTTGGCTGTTGTCCTCTATATCATCTATCATAGGGATAACCCCTGGGGGGAGAATGCATAAGGGAGAAAAAGACAAGACAGGATAAGGGTAAGGGAGACTAAGGGAAAGAAAAGCTGAGAGTGGACAGATGTCTGTAGTCACTGCCCACGGGGTCCAGCGATGACACTTGGTAGTTGCAGCTTTCATGTCTGCAACTGGTTGTGATCTTGATCTTGAAGTGGTGGCCTTGATCTGCTGGGGGTGAAGGAGGGAAACCCCCACACTCCAAGAAGTTATGAGTTATTATACCCATGGATGGTGTCCCGGGCCATGCCACGAACCTCCATCATCTCCTGGCTCTGTGCTGAGTTCCCGTGAGGGCTCTGGCCAAAGGGTTTTTCCAGCCTTTCAAGATTGGCAGAGGGGGGGATGGGCTTTGATAGGCCATGAGAGGTATAATGCAAAAGTCCTGCAGAAGCCTGCAAAAGTCCCTTGGCAATCCTAGAATGCATAAATCATGAGCCGTTTCAGTCTCTGACACCCTCAGAGAGGTGGCACATCACCAGTGGCACCCGGGCTGCTCGAGGGGGACTCGGTGCTGCCCTCACATCTCTGGGTGTGTCATTGTTGATGTAAATTGTCATGCTGGCTCTCTGATTCCCATATCAGAGCAAAATCATTAATATTTCAGGCTGCTGAGTTCTTGGGGTGTCTCAAGTGATGTGACTGTTTGTTCTACTTTTTAATAGCAGGCAGGGTACTTCAAGAAAAATCTTAAAGCTAAAACTGTGTAGTTTAGAAAATGGGAGCTGAGCAATCAACAAACGTTTTTGTGTTGATAGGAAAGCTGTTTTGGAAGAACAGATGCTGCAAACTGTTCCTTATTGCATTAAAGTTCACCAACCTCCTGGTACATTTAGAGGAGAATGACACTGAGACTGAAACGGCACCATCTTTTGTAATAGTTACTCATGTGGCAGAAAGAGAATTTTAGATTTGACTTAAATGCAACAAAACCAAAATACTCTGTGCCCCTTGTGTCTCATTCTGTACAAGGACAAAATGGTGCCAATCTTTCAGCAAGGCAGGAATAAAAATCTCAGTGAGCACTTCAGTACTTATTATTGTAATAGTAAATCATCTCTGCCTGGAAGATCTGTAAAACACACCTGCTGAGGGCAAGAGTAGGCACAGGCATGAGAGACTGAGTTATACTTCTAAATACTGTAATTTTGATATTTTTGTCATTATATTTTTAATTAAAATTTTGCATTCATATAGCTTCATCTTATTCTTGGCCCTGGAGACAGATCTTGGGGCATGTGACAGCTCTGATCTTCTGCAGTCCACTTCTCCATTCACTGAATGTGGAGTATCTGAATTTTTGTTTTAATAAGAGGAGGAAGAGGATAGGCAAGTTTTGTCTTGTCTAACTGCTAAGTTGTGAGACAGAAAAGGTCTTAAATTGCAGCGTATTATTTTTTACTGAAGATGAAAAATCTGTTCAAGTGGGACGGATGTTTGAATTGCAGAATATAATTCTACATTAAGGAAAGGCAGACTCAATGAGGCCCCTGGGAAATGTGATTGACATTAGAAACAATCCTATTTTGTTTTATGATATTCCTGTAATGATGAGTCTTTGCTTCTTACGTGGTCAGATTTCTGTTCACTCACAAAATTCTCAGTACAAAAGGAGCTGTAGAAAATGGGTGGTGGAAAAACAACGCTCTCTTTTCTCTTTCACATTTTCACTGGCAGGAGCTGTTTTTTCCTACTCACAGCATTTTTCTCTTGTATTAACATGAGACCAGAGACAGGAAAATCTGTCCAAACAAATGAGTTTGAACACATCCCACGACACCAATAGGCACCATTGGAGTGGTGGCTCAGGCACAGTTCTAGTGGCCTTTTTGTGGTATTTAACCTCCCTGCCTGAGTGACAGCTTGCCTCCCTTCAGCCTCAGTACCACATCACAAAGGAAGATGCTTTTACTTTATGAAGAAATGCAGCTTATTGCTATTTTTCTCTCCTGCAAGGATCACTTTTTTGCACTGGATAAACACAGTGCACTGCTTAATGTGAGAGCTAAATACTAATACTTTGTTTTTCTCTCTTTGGTTTTTCTTTTTTTTTCTTTCAGAAACCAAAACAAAAGGATTGGCATCCTCCTGGAGGATTTATTTTAGGACTCTGGGCATTGATCATCATGGTTTTCTTCAAAACATATGGAATCAAGCACATGAAACACGTCTTCTGAACTGGAACAAGCAAGATGTTTGCATTGGCTGCTCCTTTGGGTTTGGGTTCCTGGGTATCAGTTGTGTTCTCTGCACGTGGATTGTGGTTGTGGTGAAAAACAGGGTTGAGATCTCACTTCTGACAGTTCTTTTGAAGTCATCTTTTCTGCTCCTCTTTCTGGAAAGATTGTAACAAGTGTTTTAAATGTTATTTTACTTTGTTTTGTTTTAAACATATTGTAATGCTTTTCTGAGCATTTTTTTCTTTCTGGTTAAACTTGAAAAGGGGCAGGATCTAAACCCAGTGACAGGTTGCTTCTGAATTGTAAGTGGGCAAATTCTTTTCCCCATCCTTCAGAGTAAATCCTAGAAGTAGTCACCTATCACTGAAGAACTGGACATTGTGTAGAATGTTATTTAAGATGTCATTTTATCAATAAAAACTTAAGCCACTTTGCAGACTTTGGCATGATGTATTGAAAGCTTTCTTCATAAAAATAAAAATACTCTAGAATATATTGATTTTTTTTTCTTATTCCTTTTTCCTCCTTGTAAAATGCAACCCTTACATCAGTCCTTTCACCTTAGGCACTCGCCTTTTGAGTTTAGGATTCTATGAGTTGGTGAAAGTAAAAAAAAAAAATTATGACCTTGCTGAATCTACTTCAAAAATACAAAAAAAAAGCTAAACTACTTCACCACGTCCATTAGAAACCCCTCATAGGTGTGTTGTATTTTCCCTGCATACAATATGGAGTTGGATGCTTTCAGGATTTTCACTGCAGTGGATTTTTGCACAGAAGAAAATCGACTCTGGCATCAGGATGAAAAATGTTATAAAGTGTACTACTGTATTCAGTAGTTTCCGAGCCCTTGGAAAATGTACTTTATTGCCTGGGTTTTGTAAATCCTGGTTTGGCCTATTGATTTGTTCTTCTTGGACATTTACTGATGAATGTGTGCTAAAAGGGGTTTGTCTGTATAACATATTGATGCTAGTGAAGAGAAGAGCAAATGAACAAATTTGTGCATGTGTAGAAACAAGTCTGTCAGCGAGGAGAAGCTTTTGCCCTGTGCTTTTGGGACCTGTTCTCTGCTTAATCATAATAAAGCTTACCTGGTGCATCCATGGTGTGAGTGATACATATCTCTGGAAGTCATTAGGAATTACTTGTAATCACACATAATATCAGAGTCAATGTATTTGCCTTAGGATATAGTTTTGAGCATTTTCATATTGCACAGCACGTACAAATCCGGGTGCATAAACATTTCATCCTTTTTTTCTTTTCTTTCAGAGTGATTGTGGCATCCCAGCCTCGGGTTAGGGGAGGTGAACTTGTCAGAGCTGTGTGTTGGTGCTGGCTGGGAGGCTGCAGAGCAGCTGTGATTCATCTCTGGAGTATTAAAGCCTTCTGAGTTTTTTCCACGTATCTTCTGGTCTTGGAGAGAATGAAGGTACAAAATGATCCATTATCAGGAGGGAAACACTTGCCTGCTACACCTCTTTGTTGCACTTCTTGGTGAAGAGCAGGAATTGTTTTCAGTAGCATGTGCAAAGCACCAGGAACAGGGATTAAAATAAAAGCATTTGTACACCACTGTCCTTCCAGTTCTGTCAACTGATATCCTGTGGCAGATAATACTACGGATTTCTTCCCAGTTTCCTGATAAGCTTTAATGCAACTGGTGCACAGATACCCTCTGCCAACAATAATGCAATTTAATGTGGAAGAGAAAAGCTCTGTTTGCTGGATGGGTCTGAGCTAGTTCTGGATTTCTTCACAATGTGTTGGGTTTGAGGTGGTTTTTTGTTTTTGTTTTTTTTTTTTTGGATACTGTTCTTCAAAAGCAAGACTTTATATCCAAAATCTGATGGTGACTTTTCCTAAAATCAGAACCCTCCTTTCCCCCCCCCCAGCAATTTCTAATGCAAGAAGTAAGATCTGTTGTAGACACACCATGTAGAAATGTGTAGATGCAGTATAGAAATGAATTCTAGAGAATTCCTTAGAGGATTTCCTTAACTTTCCTTTTTTGATCCAACTCTTTTTCAATTGTAGTGAAGTGAATACTTTTAATCAAATATTTATTTTACAGGCAAGTTTTGTCACACTTTAAAAAGTGGATAAAGTGAAGTTGATGGAGCTCTGTGCCTTGCTTCAGTCGCACTTAGACTCCTGAGGCTTTATTCAATTCTTCTTTTTCCCTCTTTCTGCCACCTTTTGCAGGAAGTGATAGAAACATCTACAGAACTCAGGATTTTGCCAGTAGCAGAAGATACCAAAGATTCTGTCTTTTTAAAAGCTTATCTGCGTGGGGAAAAGGAGGCAATTAAGTGGGTTATTAAAATGCAATTTATGTATAGAAGCAGTAAGTGTGGCTGTGAAGGTGGTTAAATTGAAGTGAGAACAACAGTTTGACTGGAATGCAGCAAACTTTGCTTCAGGCATAACATTTTTGTATGCACAGAGTGAGTTGAAATGGATCATTCTCAGAGACACCATAAAGTTACCTGTGCTACAATTATGAGACAGTATTTTCTGTGGTGTGATAACTTTTATTCTTTGAATAGTTACAGTATGAAAGCAAGCCCAGAAATGTCAGGCTTGCCTGTAAGTGTGTTTTGTACGTTTATTTTTTTTATTTGAAGTTAGTAATCTTTTCATTTTCCCTGAGAGCCCTTCAAACTCAATTTGAGATGTGGGCTCTGGGAACCAGCCAGGTCACCCTCGCTCACAAACTACTTGTGTTTTCCAGGCCAGGCAGTGCTGCTGCAGTACAGACACTTCCTCTGTTGTGCACAGATGATCTTTTTAATGGCATCCAGAAGACAAGCCAGATGGCAGTTTCTTGATGTTTCTTTGCACAGAAACTTAGAAAGCAGAATTAAATTTCAGCGTTTTGTGAGTCTACACAGAGAGGTCTGTGAACCAACCACGCCCGTGCTTGCAAACTGTTGTGCTTTCATGAGTGCACCCTGGACTGTGTCACTGCATTGACAGGTCCTGCAGTGGGGTTTGAAGATGTTGTTTGGAACACTCTGGATGATAAAAATGTAAGTTGATCGTTTCAGTTTTTCAGCTCTCTTTCAGGAACACCTATTGAATTGCACTGCTGTTATTGAGCTGAATAAATGGTAAGCTGCCATTCCCTGCTGTCTCCTGAGCTGCCTGTGACCATGCCCAAATACTGACACCCACGTGTGACTCTGAGCTACACTTCCATAACAGACTGAAAAGTGAGATTCCTACAAAAATCAGTGGAGAAAGAAGCCTGAGCAGTGATGAGACAATCAGTGTTTCTTGGTCTGTGCCAGCTGAATGTTTTCATATTTATGTGACTGACACCATGAAATGCTGTTCTCTTAGCATAAGCAAATATCAGAGACTGTTCAGAAGTATCTTTGCAAACATCATTGGCGATAAAGTGCGTCTCTAGTTCCAGACAGTGGGTTGGTTTTTTTTGGTGGTTTTTTTTTTGGTTTTGTTTTTTTTTGGTTTTTGTTTTGTTTTGTTTTGTTTGTTTGTTTTTGGGGTTTTTTTGTTTGTTTTTTTGTTTGGTTTGGGTTTTTGTTTGTTTGTTTTTTGTTTGGTTTTTTGTTTGGTTTTTGGTTTGTTTTGGTTTTGGTTTTTTTGTTTGGTTTTGGGGGGTTTTGTTTGTTTGTTTTTGGTTTTTTTTTGGTTTTTTTTTTCTTTTTTTTTTATAGTTGGTTGGTTTTCCCTGCTAAAAGCTGATTACAGAAAAGGAAATGTAACCCGGTTCTAATTCTCTTGCTGAGTGTCTGCACACTGAGCCTGTTTCTGTCTCTTGTTTAAGCAGGCAGGGATTTCCATTCTCAGTTGACACATCCACAGAATGTACTGGAAGTAGAGGGATCTTGTGGTCTCATCTGCCCTCAGATGGGCATCACTGTATGCTGAAGCAGGGCTGAGTTGCACTGAGTCTGATTTGTCAAGGAGCTAAGACCAGGTTCAGCTGTGAATTCATCGTGGGTGGAGAGGATTTGCTAAGTGATAAGGTCAGGGAGATGTTTCACTGAATTCCCATAAGAGTGATTTGAAGGACCAGCTGAGGCAGGACAAGGGAAGTCTGCAGCTCTGGCAATCCTGATGCCAAGGGCATGTCACTCATGGGGTTTTTTTAAAGCTTGAGAGCTGCTTCTTTCTCTTCTCTGATGGATGCTTAGAGGGAAGGAATAAAAACGAGTTTCTGAAGGCTTCAAGAAAACTGAGCTAATCATCCATTCAGTATAGATGGGGAAAGGAGATGCTGCTAATGTCTGGTAAATAGTGCAGATTTGATCCAGTACTTTGTTTCATTGTGAATGAAAAGCTTATATGAGGTCAGGTTATTTGGACTTGATAGAAGTAGATGAAGTGGAAGGCAGTCCACAAAGTGGGAATGGTGCATCTCACAGTCTGTGGCAGTGGCAGAGGTGACAACCTTTGTATATGGTACAGTCTGGGGACAAGGACTGGGCACACCCAAAGCTCAGAGTCCCCATGTACAGATCTTCCAGCTCTGTCTGTGTCACAGAGCCCTGTGGGACCTGGCAGACTTTTATATCATGATTCCAGACTAATTCACCCTTGGACTGAGACAAGCATAAAATATTTCACCCAAGAGACTGATCTATCCATAAAGTTATGAACTGTAGAAAAATGCAGTGTATATAATTAAAGTGTCTTCTGAACCATGTGAAGATCAAACTCAGGCTGGAGCTGACAGAGTGGAAAGCTGTGGCTCAGTAGCAGTGGTTGTCCTGCAGAAGTCCCTTTTCAATATTGGACCACATGAGCCACAAAAACTCTTCTAACCATCACAGCAGCACTTCTGTACAATAGTGAGCCTAATAGGTTTTGCATTTTTTAAACTGTGAAAAGCAAATTAAAAAAAAAAACCAAAAAAACCCAACAAAACAAAATGGAGAAATGTTTCTCATGGAAAATTATATCCCCTGCACTCCAGTATTATTTCTGCTTTCCCTCCTTCCATGAACTTTTAAATATAAAAAGCTGTCAGGAAATGCATCTTGAAAGTGCTGGTGTTTTATGATGAAAACTTACACAGGCTGCATAACATACTCTGAAATCAGCATTTCATAGAATTCATTTCACTTGCAAGTTCTTTGAGTTACTTTTTCTCCCTTAATGAGGATTTCTGCCTGATTTAGTGATTAAATTGATAGTGTTTAAGGTTTCCATTCAAGGCTGTACATCTATTAATGTTTGATTGTGCCAAGTCTTCTTCCTCATGCGAATTTTAGATTTTTTTCCCCTTCTTTTCTTCTAATGTCTGTGTGCAAAGAACCCTGAAGCCTTGTCTGAAACCGAGCCAGTTTGGCAGCTTTGGCCCACAGGCCTGATAGAGATGCAAATTGTATCGGCCTGAATTATTTTGGTGACATTATTTGCAGCAATCCCTTGAACTAAACAAGCCCCACGGGAAGCAGAGTGTTTGGATGGGGTAACAGCAGTGCTGGCAAAGCTCAGCACGGGGGCTTTTCCATGGCATTTTCCATGACATGGCTTGGGTGACACAGCCCAGCAGAGGCCACTGGGCTGTGGCTCATTTGGGAGATTCATGGCATTGTCATACCAGTCCCTGTGACAAAGTTACTAATTTGAAATAGCAAACAGATTTCCTTTCTTGCCTGCAACAGGACTTAGTGGAAAAATGCTGTCCTATATTAAATGTGTGACTAGGCCCACTGGTTTTACATGTATGAGTATTTTAAACTTATGCTCTGTCCTTACTTGATATCCAATATAATGGTACTTACTTTGTCAAATGCTTTGCTCTTTACCAACAGAGAGTCTCACCAAGCATTAGATGCTGCTGTTTGGTTTTCATTGTTACTTTTCCTGTACCTAGTTTCCCTATCCAGGTTAAGTTTGTAGCTCAAAATATTATTGCTAAAATTCTGGTAATTTTAGGGTCCCCTTACCTCCTTTGGTCTTTATAATGCAAACAGGATGCCAAATAGGGTCAAAAGGGTCATCAGTATATCATTGCAACTTATCTTTGTATTTTGTACAGTTCTTTTACAGACTTCTTTGCAGTGGTCCCTGTGTTTGTTTGGGGTTTTTTGTGGATAGAGAAGGTTGCTGGTTTCTCTAAGCTCCT